CATAAAAGCCATATACAAAAAACCCGTAGTGAATATCATCCTCAACAGGAAAAAACAGAGCTTCTCCCCTAAAGTCAGGAGCACAACAGGGATTTCCACTCTCACCACTGTTGTTCAACATAGTACTGGAAGTTCCTAGCATCAACAATCAAATAAATAAAAGAAATAAAAAGCATCCAAATCAGCAAAGAAGAAGTCAAATTTCCAATCTTCACAGGTGACACGATTCTATGGAGAGAACCCAAAAGACTTTTGTAAAAAACCAAAAAAGTACTGGAACTGATATTGGAATTCAGCAAAATCACAGGGTATAAAATCAACACACATAAGTCTGTTGCATTTCTATACACTAACAATGAAGCAACAGAAAGAGAAATCAAGGAATCTATCCCATTTACAATTCCTTCAAAAACTATAAGATACCTAAGAACACCCCTAACCAAAGAGATAAAACAGTTGTACTCTGAAAACTATAGAAAACTATACTTAGGTATACCTGGGTGGCTCAGCGGGGGAGTGTCTGCCTTTGGGCGTGATCCTGGTCCAGAGATCCCTGTGAGGAGCCTGCTTCTACCTCTGCCTATCTCTCTGCCTCTCTCTGTCTCTCATGAAAAAAAAAAAAAAAAAACTTAAAAACAAAAACTATAGAACACTTAAATTGAGGAAGACCCAAAGAAATGGAAAAATATTCCATGCTCATTGATTGGGAGGACAATTATTTTTCTAATGTATACTTCCCAAAGCAATCTATACATTCAATGCAATCCCTATCAAAATACCACCAGCAGGGCAACCTGGGTGGCTCAGCGGTTTAGCTTTAGTGCTGCTTTCAGCCTAGGGTGTGATCCTGGATACCTGGGATTAAGTCCCACGTCAGGCTCTCTGCAGGGAGCCTGTTTCTCCCTGTGTCTGTGCCTCTCTCTCTGTATGTGTCTCTTATGAATGACTGAATAAATAAAATCTAAAAAACACAAAATACCACGAACATTTTTCACAGAGTTGGAACAACCAATTCTAAAGTTTGTATGGAACCAGAAAAGACCCCAAATAGCCAAAGTAACGTTGAAAAAGAAAACCAAAGCTGGAGTCATCACAATTCTGGACTTAAAGCTGTACTACAAAGCTGTAACCAACAAAACAGTATGGTACTAGCACAAAAACAGACACATAGATAAATGAAGCAATAGAGAATAGGTATAGGAGATTAAGAGGTACAAAGTTCAGGACACCTGGGTGGTTCAGCAGTTGAGCGTCTGCCTTTGGCCAGGGCGTGATCCCAGAGTCCCTGGATGGAGCCTGCTTCTCCTCTGCCTGTGTCTCTGCCTCTCTCTCTGTGTCTTTCATGAATAAATTAAAAAATATTTAAAAAAAGAACTTAAAAAAAAGGTACAAAATTCTAGTTATAAAATAAATGTCATGAGCATGTATAGCATAAGGAATAAAGTTAATATTGTAATAACTTTGTATGATAAATGGTAATTAATCATGGGGATCATTTTACAATGTACAAAAATATCGAATCACCATGATGTACACCAGAAATAGAACATTGTATGTCAATTATACTTCAATTTAAAAAAAGAGAGAAAGGGGCAGCCCCAGTGGCCCAGTGGTTTAGCGCCACCTTCAGTCCAGGGCGTGACCCTGGAGACCCGGGATCGAGTCCCACGTCGGACTCCCTGCATGGAGCCTGCTTCTCCCTCTGCCTGTGTCTCTGCCATTCCCTCTCTCTTTCTCTCTCTGTGTGTATGTGTGTGTCATGAATAAAAAAAATCTTTTAAAAAAAGAAAATACTTAAAAAAAAAAGAAAAATATTATCAGCCACTTTTCAGCAGAAACGTTGGAGGCCAGAAGAAAGTGGAATAATATATTTAAAGTGTTATAAGAAACACTTATGTCAGGGATCCCTGGGTGGCTCAGCAGTTTAGTGCCTGCCTTTGACCTAGGGCATGATCCTGGAGTCCCAGGATCGAGTCCCACATCAGGCTCCCTGCATGGAGCCTGCTTCTCCCTCTGCCTGTGTCTCTGCCTGTCTCTTTGTGTCTCTCATGAATAAATAGACAAAAATCTTAAAAAAAGAAAAAAGAAAAAACTGTCAACTGAGAATTCTATTATCCAGTAAATCCATTATGCATAAATGAGGGAGAAAATAAGATATTCCCAGATAAACGAAAGCTGAAGGAGACCATTAGCAGCAGACCTAACGTACAAGAAATGCTACAGGGAGTCCTTCAGGTTGAAATGAAATGATGCTAGACAGTAACTTGAAGTCATACAAAGATAAAAAGATCTCTTTTTTTAAAAAATTTGTATTTATTTATGATAGTCACAGAGAGAGAGAGAGAGAGAGAGAGAGAGAGGGGGGGGCAGAGACACAGGCAGAGGGAGAAGCAGGCTCCATGCACCGGGAGCCCGACGTGGGATTCGATCCCGGGTCTCCAGGATCGCGCCCTGGGCCAAAGGCAGGCGCCAAACTGCTGCGCCACCCAGGGATCCCAAAAGATCTCTTTAAAGATTAACATATGGACAAATATAAAAACCAGTGTTGTTATAATTTAGGTTTGTAACCCCACTTTTACTTTTCTAAAGGAGTAAGACAGGGCAGTCGGGTGGCTCAGTGGTTTAGCGCTGCCTTCAGCTCAGGGTGTGATCCTGGAGACCCCTTCAGCCCAGGGCGTGATCCTGGAGACCCCGGCATGGAGTCCCATGTAGGGCTCCCTGCATGGAGCCTGCTTCTCCCTCTGCCTGTGTCTCTGCCTCTCGCTCTCCCTCTGTCTCTCATGAATAAATAAAATCTAAAACAAAACAATATTTTAAAAAAATAAAAATAAAGGAGTAAGACAGAAATGCATGAGAATAATTACAAATCCGGTACAGAACACATAAAGATGTAATTTGTTATATCAATAACAAAGTAGAGGGGACTGAACTGAATCAAGCAGGATCCTCCAAATTAATTAATTTATAAATAATAAAAATAATGGAAGGCTAATTTGGGCTGCCAGGAAAATAGATCAAGTAACATAGTGAGAGTGGGGGACTATAACCTTATACTTCTCCATAGAGGAATTTAGTATCAGAAGACAAGCTACAGAGAGCCTGGGTGGCTCAGTCAGTTAAGCATTCAACTCTTTGTTTCAACTCTAGTCACCATCTCAGAGCCACAAGACCAAGCCCTGCATTGGGCTCCCCACTCAGGGGGTCGTCTGCTAGAGTCTCTCTCTGCCCTTCCCCTACACACTTGTGTACATGCACTCTCTCTCATATAAATAAATCTAAAAAAAAAAAAAAAAAGACAAGCTACTATAGTGCCTCTCAAAACAAGATCCTTAAACCCGCATCAGCATCATCTGGAAACTCATTAGAAAAACAATTCTTGGTTCCCACCCTAGACTATTGAATCAGAAACTTGGGGTACAGGGACCCATAATCTGTGTTTTAACAAGCCTCTAGATGTTCCTAAAGCAGGCTAAAGTTGTAGAAGCATTGATCTACAAGGTACGGAAGAGAATAGAATATAAGTCATTGATTTTTTTTACCTAAACCATTATTCACATAAAGGCTACGAACAATAGCTTTAAGCATACAAGAATGCTGGAAATAGGGATCCCTCGGTGGCTCAGTGGTTTAGCGCCTGCCTTTGGCCCAGGGCATGATTCTGGAGTCCCGGGATTGAGTCCCACATCCCCACATCGGGCTCCCTGCATGGAGCCTGCTTCTCCCTCTACCTGTGTCTCTGCCTCTCTCTCCCTGTGTCTCTCATGAATGAATAAATAAATAATCTTTAAAAAAATTAAAAAAAGAATGCTGGGAATATTTTTCCCACAGAAATACTTGAGAAAACTACTAGTGAACAAATTTCTACCAGCCAATGGATGCCAAGGGAAACTTCAACAATGTAACAAGCAGGGGCATTAAGTATATATAACTACAAAACTAAGACTGGACAAACTTAGGTATGGAGGATTAAAAAAAACAGGATATAAATGTAATATACTCTAGCAATATAGAAATGATGCTACGGAAAAAAAGGAGGCAAAGATTATATAAGAAATGAAGTAGGGTAAGTTTTTGCTGGTTGTTTCATCTACAACAGCTGGAGTTAAAGGTAATATTTATGACATTTAACAGTGTAGTGGTAATAGTAAGAAAAATAATGTTAACTGAAATCAGAAGATAAAAAAATAGACAGTTTTTAAAAGTTAAAGAGGCATATTTATCACTATCATCAGTAGAACAAAAATACAAAACTTCTTAAATATCAGAAAATCTGTGAGTATATATGCATAATTACACATACCAAAGCAAACAAACAGTATAGGAAAAGACATAACACAAAATATGTTAAAATTAAGACTAAATATTTCTGTCATTTTAATAAATGTCGATGGGTTTGATCATCTTTTAAAATAAAAACATTTTCAGATTCCTCAAAAAGTAAAACAGGAGCACTTGGGTGGCTCAATTAGTTAAGAGTCTGCCTTCAGGTCAGGTCATGATTTCAGAGTCCTGGGATCCACCCCCACATCAGCAGGAAGCCTGCTTCTTCCTCTCCTCTGCCTTCCTCTCCCCCTGCTTGTGTTCTGTGTCAAATAAATAAATCTTAAAAAAAAAAAAAGTTAAACCAAACTCTATGTTGCATTATTGATGCTCACCTCAAAGTGATTCAGAAGACTGAAATAGGATGAGTAAAGGTGTGCTAGTCAAGGGCAAATAAAAGAAAGGAGCAACAATTTTAATAGGAGATGAGGAGGAAGCCAAATATCTTTAAATGAGAAAATACTGCTTACAGTTATAATTCACAATGAAAAGTTATAAATATCAGCAATTGTGTAAATATCATACTCAAAAACAAAAATTACAAGTAGAGGGAGAAATAAACTTACTTTTGCAGTACTTCTGAGTACTCAAATTTACAAAAGCATTAATAAGTCCAACCACATCTAGTATAATGTATACCATGGAATATTTCTCAGCCATTAGAAATGACAAATACCTACTATTTGCTTCGACGTGGAGGGACCTGGAGGGTATTGTGCTGAGGGAAATAAGTCAATCGGGGGGATCCCTGGGTGGCGCAGCGGTTTAGCGCCTGCCTTTGGCCCAGGGCGCGATCCTGGAGACCCGGGATCGAATCCCACGTCGGGCTCCTGGTGCATGGAGCCTGCTTCTCCCTCTGCCTGTGTCTCTGCCTCTCTCTCTCTCACTGTGTGCCTATCATAAATAAAATTTAAAAAAAAAATAAAATAAAAAAATAAGTCAATCGGAAAAGGACAAACATTATATGGTCTCATTCATTTGGGGAATATAAAAATTAGTGAAAGGGAATAAAGGGAAAGGAGAGAAAATGAGTGAAAATATCAGTGAGGGTGACAAAACATGAGAGACACCTAACTCTGGTAAACGAACAAGGGGTAGTGGAAGGGGAAGTGGGTGGAGGGTTGGGGTGACTGGGTGATGGGCACTGAGGGGGGCACTTGGTGGGATGAGCACTGGGTATTATGCTATGTGTTGGCAAACTGAACTCCAATTTAAAAAAAAAAGTCTAACCACATTTAAATAAAAATGTTTCCACGTGACAAAAACAAACTCCATTAAGTTAAAAGAGAAATCTGTTGGGATGCTTGGGTGGGTCAGCAGTTGAGTGTCTGCCTTTGGCTCAGGGCGTAATCCTGGGGTCCCAGGATCCAGTCCCTCATCCGGCTCCCTGCAGGGAGCCTGCTTCTCCTTCTGCCTATCTCTCTGTGTCTCTCATTAATAAATAAATAAAATCTTGGCAGCCCGAGTGGCTCAGTGGTTTAGTGCCACCTTCCACCCAGGTGTGATCCTCGAAACCCCGGATCAAGTCCCACATCGGGCTCCCTGCATGGAGCCTGCTTCTCGCTCTGCCTGTGTCTCTGCCTCTCTCTCTCTCTCTGTCTCTCATGAATAAGTAAGTAAGTAAGTAAGTAAATAAATAAATAAATAAATAAATAAATAAATAAATAAAATCTTTAAAAAAAAAAAAAGGGACAAATCTGTGGATTCAAGGGCATGAGGAGTCCAAAGTGGTCAAGTGACAGTCTTCATTTCCAATTCAATGGAACTATTACTGTGTCTCCCGTTAGAAGCATTTCTCCCTTTAGAACTAAGACCAGTAGGCCAGTGGTTGTAGGGCTAGCTAGAAAAATTTTACTAGTGGGTTATAGTAATGCCACTCCCACTGCCACCACTTGATTCCTAGACCTGTGAATGCTATGAGAAAAGTAGCACCATATATTGGACACTAATTCAGAGCACATTAACCGCCTGGAGAAGTTTGCCCCCAGCTCTACCAGGTACTGCCACCTACAGGGTACTATAACTACTGGAGCTGTGAGTCTGAACAGCCATTCCACTATCCCATCAAACCAGCTACTTCAGGATGGTGGGGAACATTGCAAGACAAGTGAATTCCATGAGCATGGGCCCATTGCCACACTTCACTTGTTGTAAAGGGAGTTCCTTCACCAGAAGCAACACTGTGGAATACCATGATAGCAGATAAGGCATTCTTTAACTCCATGGATGGTAGTTTGGGCAGAAACATTGGATGCGGGAAAAGGCAAATCCATGTTCAGAATAAGTGTTGATTCCAATAAAAACAAACTGTTGCCTCTTCCATGACAGAAGTGGTCCAATGTAATCAACCTGCCATCAGGTAGCTGGCTCATCACCTTGAGGAACAGTATCATATCAGAGACTCAGTATTGGTCTCTGCTGCTGGCAAACTGGGCACCTGGCAGTGGCTATGGCCAAGTCAGCCTTGGTGAATCAAAGTCCATATTGTTGATTCCATCATAACCTCCATCTCTGCCATCATGGCCACTTTTAAAATAAAGTCATTGGGCCATGACAGCAGTGGCTTGAAGAGGCCAACTGTTATCCACTTACTAAAATCCTCCTCTACTGAGGTCACCCTTTGGTGAGCATTTATATAGGACACAAATATATTCACGTTTTTCACCCATCCAAGGAAGTCAATCTATGTATCTCTTTCCCAGACTCCCCTGTAACCAATTTTCTAATCATATTCTTACCAAGTCCCTGACCATCCAGCCAAACCATTGGCCACAGCCCATGAATTGGTTTATAATCAACTCATCTGGCCATTTCTCCTTCTAAGCAAAATGGACTTCTAAGTCCTCCCTACTGAGAGGATCTCTCTTTATCATTGCCTTTCATGGATGTAAACAGCTGTCCACTTTTGGGTGGTACCTGCATATCCTGCACAACCACTTGTAATTCAAGAACCACTTTAAGCCAAGTTTTCTCTTCCTCTGTCACCTGATCACAGGCAACTTCCCATGAGGTCACAGGTGAAGGCTGGGAGAGAGAGGGTAGGATAGGCATCCCTGGGTGGCGCAGCGGCTTGGTGCCTGCCTTTGGCCCAGGGCGTGATCCTGGAGACCCGGGATCAAATCCTACATCGGGCTCCTGGTGCATGGAGCCTGCTTCTCCCTCTGCCTATGTCTCTGCCTCTCTCTCTCTCTGTGACTATCATAAATAAATAAATAAAAAAGAGAGAGAGAGAGAGAGGGTAGGATAGCAGGAGTTGGGACCAAGGATATTTGGGTCACTTCTTTATATACTTGTATTTCCAGGGCCTATTGGGATATTAGTCTACTTATAGTTCTAGAAGCAAAGAGGAATGGTGGGAGTGGGTTCTGAAGAAAATCAGCAGTGTCTTTCAAGGCAACTGCCTTGGAGGAGACTACTGCAGTTTACTAGTGCAATGGAGGGTGTATCTCAGACAGGTAGACGGCTTTTTTTTTTTTTTAAGATTTTATTTATTTATTCATGAGAGATACAGAGTGAGAGAGAGAAACAGAGACACAGGCAGAGGGAGAATCAGGCTCCATGTAGGGAGCCCGATGTGGGACTCAATCCCAGGACTCCAGGATCATGCCCTGGGCCGAAGGCAGGCGCTAAACCGCTGAGCCACCCAGGGATCTCCCCTAGACAGCTTGCTTCTATCGGCAAAGAAAGTGCAACAGAATTTACAGGCCCAATGTCCCCAGCGTCATCAGGGTATTCTCATACATCCCATTCCAAATATCAGGATCCCATTCCTTCCTCATCAATGCTTTCATTTTTCAATTAAACTGTAATTCAGTTACAAACTAGATGAGATTCTGGGTTGGTTTTCAGCAATCTCAGCTCTGCAGTTAAGTATCTCTTTAAGGATAGACCTAGAAGCTTTCAATCATTTATACAGTGCTTGGGCTGGGAATTTGAATCCCTGATCTCATCCTTTTTTCCCCCACTTTATTCAGTGACCTTAGGAGCAACATTTAATCTCATTATACTCATTAGTTTGACAAAAATGTTTGAAGGTATCTCATACATGGTAATCCAGTTCCTTGCCTCTTGTGTTTGATTATCCAATCTCATTATTAGATATTCCAATAGTGAGATTCTGCTCCTTTAGAGCCACTCTTAGCATCAAAATCTGTATTAGTCAGGATTCTCCAAATAGAACCAAAAAGAGGTGTGTATATATCTATATACCTATCTATAGCGAGGGCATTTGCTACTGTTGAGTGAAAGAGAGAAATTTATTTTAAAGAATTGGATCATGTGATTGTGGAGGTTTAATAAATCCAAAACCTGCAGCATGCCAGCAGACTGGATACCCAGGGAGGAGCTACAGTTTTCATCCAAAGGCAGTCTGCTGCAGAATTGCTTCTTGCTATAGGGAAGTCAGTCTTTAGTTTAAAAAGGCCTTCAGCAGGAAACCACAAATGTTGGAGAGGATGTGGAAAAAAGGGAACCCTCTTGTACTGTTGGTGGGAATATGAACTGGTGCAGCCACTCTGGAAAACTGTGTGGAAGTTCCTCAAAGAGTTAAAAATAGATCTGCCCTATGACCCAGCAATTGCACTGCTGGGGATTTGCCCCAAAGATACAGATGCAATGAAATGCCGGGACACCTGCACCCTGATGTTTATAGCAGCAATGTCCACAATAGCCAAACTGTGGAAGGAGCCTCGGTGTCCATCGAAAGATGAATGGATAAGATGTGGTGTATGTATACAATGGAATATTACTCAGCCATTAGAAACGACAAATACGGGATCCCTGGGTGGCACAGCGGTTTAGCGCCTGCCTTTGGCCCAGGGCGCGATCCTGGAGACCCGGGATCAAATCCCACGTCAGGCTCCCGGTGCATGGAGCCTGCTTCTCCCTCTGCCTATGTCTCTGCCTCTCTCTCCTCTCTCTCTCTCTCTCTCTCTCTCTGTGTGTGTGTGTGTGACTATCATAAATAAATAAAAATTAAAAAAAAAAAAAAGTAGAAACGACAAATACCCACCATTTGCTTCGACGTGGATGGAACTGGAGGGTATTATGCTGAGTGAAGTAAGTCAATCGGAGAAGGACAAACATTGTATGGTCTCATTCATTTGGGGAATATAAAAAATAGTGAAAAGGAATAAAGGGGAAAGGAGAAAAAATAAGTGGGAAATATCAGAGGGGGAGACAGAACATGAAAGACTCCTAACTCTGGGAAGCAAACTAGGGGCGGTCGAAGGGGAGGTGGCTGTGGGGGTGACTGGGTGGTGGGCACTGAGGTGGGCACTTGAAGGGATGAGCACTGGGTGTTATTCTGTATGTTGACAAATTGAACACCAATAAAAAATAAATTTATTTTAAAAAAGGCCTTCAACTGATTGAGTGAGGCCCACCCATATTATATAGAATAAACCTGCTTTACTCAAAGTCCACCAGTTTAAATTGTTAATCTCATCCAAAAAACACCTCACAAAAATTTTCAGAATAACATTTAACCAAGTATCTGGGAACCAACGTGGCCCAGGCAAGCTGACACATAAAATTAAGCATCACAAATGGTTATCTCTGATGGGAGTTTATGAATTTATTCAAAATTTGTTTTTGCTACTTTTTCTATGGTTATTATTTACTGTATTATCTTTGTAATAAGAAAAGCATATATATATATTTTTAAGTTTTTTTTAAAATAATATTTGCTTTGGGAAGTCTTCCTTAGTAGTATGGCACTGAGAATATACCATTATAGCTGTTCAGTACATTGTGTGTCCTACTGTATGTTTGCCTAATAAACGAGGAAGGCTCTAAAGGAAAGGGTCTTCTCTTTTCATGTGTGTATGTTACCCAAAGCACAGTACTCTACCACAAAGTACACTCAAAGAATGAACAGCCAATAATAGAAAAAATACTATCCCAAATCAATACTATTCACCTACCCATTCTAAACCTGCCCCAATTCTGGGATTTCTTTGACCTTTTCAGATACCTAGACTAGAAATGGTAACCAAAGAGAACATGTTTCAAAATTTTGTCACTTTTATGTCAAGAATGCCTGTGCGCCTGGTCTTTTTGCTATCTGCATGTCCACTGCTTTAGTTTGAATATTCTGCTTATAAAACACATGTTTTATTTTAAAAAAGTAATAAATACATGCTTATTTTTCAAAGCAAAGGTCAAAACAGATCTTTCAAAACTAGGTAATTCTTACATCATTTGGGAAGAAAAACAAACACGCAAAATAGGCAGAAAATTTCTGAAGAAAGACTAAAGAGGATCCAATCCTACCAAATTTTGAAAATACTATAAAACTACAGTAAATATAATGTTGCTACTTCTATGGACTTAGCTATGAAATATAGTCTAAAGTAGATCCAGATACATATGAGAATGCAGCATATGCTAATAACTGCATTACATATTAATGGTGGAAAATGTGAATTATTCTTGAAAAAATAAAACTAGATTCTGTGTAAGCTCTTTCCAAACACCAATAACCAGTTCAGTTGTCAGACACCAACTTTCTTGATTCTCCAACACAAACTGGGTGTCCAGCAACTCAACTTTATTTTTTTTTAATTTTTGTTTATTTATGATAGTCAGAGAGAGAGAGAGAGAGAGAGAGAGAGAGAGAGAGAGGCAGAGACACAGGCAGAGGGAGAAGCAGGCTCCATGCACCGGGAGCCCGATGTGGGATTCGATCCCAGGTCTCCAGGATCGTGCCCTGGGCCAAAGGCAGGCGCCAAACCGCTGCGCCACCCAGGGATCCCTCAACTTCAAATCTATCTGGAATTAGCACAGACCCTGCAATTAACGGCTCAGTCCCAGAAGATTGCTTCTACCAGGCACCAGTTTCAAACATGCTACCTCCATTTCTGTCTGACTTGGGTGCAAATTTTGGGGTTCCCACAATTCCCTCCTCAAGTTTGAAAATTTCTGAGACTGACTCAGAACTTGGGAAATCATTTCACTTAGGTTTACAGTTTACTATAAAGGATACAACCCAAGAAGAAACCAAATGTAAGAGATACAGACCAGGCACTGGGGAAGGAGCACAGAGCTTTCGAGCCCTCTCGATATACCACACTCCCAGGATATCAATGTGTTTACCCATCCCGATTATTCAATCATTTTTATAACTGATCTGCTACCCACCTCCACTCCCCAGAGGATAGGGGCATGGGATTGAGGGTCCTCACCCTCTAATCACTGTGGTTGGTCTTTCTAGTGACCAGCCCCCATCCTGAGGCTATCTAGGGTTACCACCTTGACTCACATTAGCACAGATTCAGGTGAATTCTAAAGGGGATTTTGTGGATAGCAAAAGATACTCTCAGCACTCAGAATTCTGTGCTGGGAACCAAGGACAAAGACCAAATACATATTTTTAGAACACCCCAGATTCTTATCTCATTCCTTACCAAAATAAATTTCAAATGAATCAAGGATTAAAATGAAAAGTAAAGCCTTTAGAAATACACAAGAAAACATGGGAGAATTTTAAGAATATGCCTGGGGGGGGGGGGGCTCAGCAGTTTAGCGCCACCTTCAGCCCAGGGCCTGACCCTGGAGACCTGTGATGGAGTCCCATGTCAGGCTCCCTGCATGGGGCCTGCTTCGCCCTCTGCCTGTGTCTTTGCCTCTCTGTCTCTCATGAATAAATCAATAAAATCTTAAAAAAAAAAAAAAAAAAGAGTGTAAGGCTTGTTTTACACAGTATAGCACAAAACCCAAATGCCCATAAAAGAGGGGAAAAAAAGAGGGAGGGATACACGTGACTACATGAAAAGAATTTTTAAAATTTTTAATTGGAAAAAAAAATTTTTAATTGGAAAAAAGACATAAATACAAAATACTGTACAAGCAGTATTTAGACAAGTCAATTGCAACACAGAAAACATAAAGAACTCCTACAAATCCACAAGAAATCAAACAGGAAAACAGAAACAAAGACACGAAAGATAGTTCATAGAAAAAGAACTACAAATGGCTCTTACAAATAAAATATATGCTCAACTTCACTCTCAATAAACAATACTAAATAAAATAAACAAGATGCCATTTTTTACCTATAAGACTTGCAAACATAGAAACAAAATGTTAAATATATTGGTATATACTCTTCTGGTTCTTTATTGATTCTGTATATATATATATATATTTAGGGGACTTAATAAAAATAAAACACTGGACATACTTTGTATATTTTATATTTTCATGTATATATTTCTGCATCTCTCTTTTGTGGATATATAAGTGTCCCCTAAATTTGAGGGGTTTGCAAAAGTGAAAATATTCTGAATTTTTTAAGTTAATATTTTGATGCATACTCTTGTTTTGTTATAGATACATGGAGAGTGGCTACAAAAATGAGGACATATAATTGGGCCACTTAAAACGTTTTCCCTAGGGCACCTGGGTGGCTCAGTTAGTTAAGCATCTGTCTTTGGCTCAGGTCATGATCTCAGGGTCCTGGGATTGGCTCCACATCAGGCTCCCTGCTCAGCAGGGAATCTGCTTCTCCTTTTCCAGCTCCTGTTCCCCCTGCTTGTACTCTCTCTCTCTGTGTCAAATAAATAAAATCTTTAAATAAATAAATAAAACATTTCCCCCTCTTATCAAGAACAACTCTTTATGTCATTAAATATGCCTCATCACCTTCTGCATGGAATTTTGAACATCCTTCTTCCTGATTGCCCTATCCTTAGTCTTCTCCCTTAGTTCATTCTCCATTCCACCTCCAGAGTAATTTTCATCACTAGTGCATTGGGTTCCCACTGCTGGCACAGATATCTTAATCAGGACATGACAGTCAGGAAATGCTACTTCTCCAGATTTGTCTCTTGCAACCTTCTTCCCTCCATCCTAAGTATCCACCTTTCAGTGGGCATGCCAGTTCCTTCCATGTTGCTCTGTCTGGAAACTACTCTCCTAAACCCTCTTCTTTTGAAAAGTGTCTATGTATCTTTCAAAATCCATTAGATTTGGGGATCCCTGGGTGGCTCAGTGGTTTGGCGCCTGCCTTTGGCCCAGGGTGTGATCCTAGAGTCCCAGGATCAAGTCCCATGTCAGGCTCCTTGCATGGAGCCTGCCTTCTGCCTATGTCTCTCTCTGCCTCTCCCTCTCTCTCTCTTTCATGAATAAATGAATAAAATCTTAAAAAAAAAAAAAAATCCCTAAGACTCACCTCACCTCTTCCTTCACACCTACCATGTCAGGCACAATACAAAGTATGCGACACATGCAATCTCAGTTACTTTTTTCTAAGATGTCACTTACTTCCACTTTATAGATTAGGAAATAGAATCCAAAAAAGTTAACTTGTCCAAGGTCACCTACTGGTAAACACTGCAAAACTAGAATTTAATTCAAATTGTTTGATTCTAGGAGTCTTTCTAATGCACCACTTTGCCTCACTAGGGTTCTTTCATCAAGATTTTATTCTTTATTGAAATCTCTCCTGAATCAAATAGCTAAACATCCGCTGCCACCTCAATGTCTTCAATCATGGCCTGAAATAGATCTGCTCCCACATGACCTTTGGTGTGAAATTCTCCAAAGACATTCTAAAGTTTTCCCGCTCTGTACATACATTAGCATGTAGACAACACTCCCTTGCTATACTCTTGCATCATATAATGAAAACCATTCATTTGCTTGGAAGTGTGATATGGAGAACAGTAGAATAATATATGCAAATAGAATGCCTCTACAGGGATCCTGTGATCTTTCCGTTTTGCTGAGACTTTGTGTGGTGTGATGTCAATGGAGATGCCTAATTAAAATTCCATTCATTGTGGATTTCTTGCATTTGATTTTTTTAAAATATCGCGTTAAAATATTATTGATTTCAATTACTGAGCTTTGGTGCCCCTTTAAATTTGCACCTCAGGAGATCCAGTCCCCTTTCCTACCTGCAAACACATGCCTGAAAATTCCAATCTTCATCTCTGCTCGTATCTCCCATACATCTGCACAGTAAATAAATCCGCATGCATACCAAGTAAGATAAGCACAAGTCTCCTGTGTAATGCCATTAACCAGACTTATAATGTGCTGTTGAGATTCTCAAATATACAAAGCCACTTAAAAGCATTATATTCCAGGATATTCACTGCAGCTTCAATAGCAAAAGATGAGGAACAACCTAAATAACAACCGGTGTATGACAAGTTAATTCTGTCACTCTTACAAAGAATATCAGGCAGCTGTTAATGAGGAATCCCTATTTGTATTGATACGGTACAATCACCAACATACTTTAAGTATAATACACCCATCACTGTGTATTCTAAATTGACATTTTGTGTGGGGGGAAATGCTTTTAACTATACACATTTATAAATTCATAAATCATCTGGGAAATTAGAATATCTAAGGGTAATTGTGCTTGTCTGAAGGAAGCTGAACTAGAGGGACGAGGGCGTGCTTTTCACCATACACCCTTTGGAACTTTTGAATTCTAACGGTTTTCGTTATTATAAAAACGAAACACAAGACATTACTGAATAATACGGGGGTGGTGAATACTGGATACTAGAAAACAACTGCACACCTTTCGGAATTTTGTCCTAAAACAGAGCCCTCTCAAAGCACGGGGACCACCACTCAAGCAAGTCTGAGTCTGGCCACCCGTCTGGGAGCAGCGTGTCCCGCGCCGCCAACGCACCAGCCCCGAAGCTCGCTACGAAGGCCCTAAGCACCTTCCATCCTGCACGCCATCTTCCCTCCCCTTGGCTCCGAGCGCCGACGGCAGCGGGCGAGGGCCCGAGCAGGTGCACTTCTGCACGCCGCAGCACCGAGAGCCCTTCCAAGCACACCGTAGGTAGTCCAGGAAACGCCGGCGACGGGGACGCAGGAAGCAAGGGGAGGAGGCAGGGCAACACGCGCGACGGGGACGGAGGAAGCCCACCCTACCCCTGCGGCCAGAGGCCTCCAGGAGAGAGCGGCCCACGCTCACTCTGCAGTCGCGGCTCGCCTCGCCTCGCCCCGCCTCGTTCCTCAGGTCCCGGGGCTGCACAGCCGGACCCCGCCGGCGGCCACGCCGGACCGCGACGAGCCCTTCCGACCCGGAACAGGGCCCTCCCGGCGCAATGGCGGCGCCGCGCGGCCGCGGGGGGCGGGGCGGGCGCGCGGGGGCGGGGCAGTAGCGCCGCGGCCCAATGGCAGCGGCGCGCGGGCACGCTGGGGGCGTGGCGACGCGCCCGACTTTTCCAGAAGACCCGGGTAGCGCCTCCCGGCCACGCCGAGCCAGTTGCGGGCCCTCAGCGCGCGGTACCTCCTCTTCTTCCTTTGGTCAGCTATGGCGGCCGTGAAGACCCTGAACCCCAAGGCCGAGGTGGCCCGCGCCCAGGCGGCGCTGGCGGTCAACATCAGCGCGGCCCGGGGGCTGCAGGACGTGCTGAGGACCAACTTGGGGCCTAAGGGCACCATGAAGATGTAAGGCGGGGTTGGCGGTGGGGGGAGGAGGCAGGGGGCCGCCGCGAGCCTGGCGGGGGAGGGCGGGAGGAGGGGGAATGGGCCGCGCGGGCACCGCGGGCACCGCGGGCCGGGGGAGGGGGGCCGGGGCCTCTGCACTCGCCGCTGCCGCCCTGCGGGCCCGCACGCTCCCTGGTGGCCCCCGCGCCCAGCTCAGGCCGTTTCCCTTCTAATTGATGCCGCCTCTGCGGAGAACAAAGCGGCCTGCGTGCACGGCTCGCGCCGCGGAGACCCCGAGGGCTCGGCCAGCTGTTTCTCTGAAGGGAGAGCGCGGCGCGGCGCCGTTCCTGTTGCCTGCCGGGTGCAGAGAAGCAGCCGCGTGGCCCCAACTCCCGAGGATCTGGGTGAAGCCCGACTGCAGTGGGACTATGGACTAGGTCTCCGATGAGAACGTCACACTGATTCATTTGTGCTCGTTGAACAGGCTCGTGTCTGGTGCTGGAGACATCAAGCTTACTAAAGATGGCAATGTGCTGCTTCATGAAATGGTGAGAGGCCGCTTGGTACGCTAAGTCAAAAATGTCTTGGTGTTCCATATCACGTGTGATTTGCAGGAAGATTTTTTTTTTTTTTAATTTATGATAGTCACATAGAGAGAGAGAGAGAGAGAGAGGCAGAGACATAGGCAGAGGGAGAAGCAGGCTCCACGCACCGGGAGCCCGACGTGGGATTCATTCCCGGGTCTCCAGGATCGCGCCCTGGGCCAAAGGCAGGGCCAAACCGCTGTGCCACCCAGGGATCCCTACTCTAATTGTTAAATCCCCACTGACCAAGGGTATGAGACTGTTGAGAAGAGCAGTTGTTTTACTCATCCCTAAGTTTCCAAAATCTAGCACTTAACCAAGTAAAGGAAATGGACCCCCCCCCCGTATTTTGAGTTTTTTATTGTGTACTACAGTAGATATTCAGAGAAGCACATGAACCCAGTAAGAAGTATACAGTATTACCCATATAATATATTTGCCCCCCCCAAAAAATTTAACATTTGCAAATTTAAATGAGATAGTTTGCAAAATATCTGGCCTAGATTCTTAAACTGTCAGTTTCCCTAAAAACAAAAGGTTGTGGAACTCTTCTGGATTACAGGAGAATAAGGAGATTTAAAAACTAAAAACAGTTCGGGAGCATTGTTTGGCTCCTTTGTAATTAAGAATCTATGGGTGGTCCTGGAAATACAGTGCATATCCTGTTCTTAAAAACCTCTCAATGATTTAGCTTTCACTAGTGATCTTTGCTCTAAAAGATAACTTTTTTCTTTTTATTTTTTTATTCAATTCCAATTAATACTGGAGGCTGCTGGGGTTTAATTTTAGAAGGAACCTGGTTTATTCTCCCAAGAGTCCTAAAGAAGCATGCATGGATTTGAAATTATTTCTTACTGTTAATTCTGTTGCCTTCAGTAGACCTTAACAGTAAGCCTCAGATTTCCTCATCAGTAAAGTGGAGATAATCTTCTCAAATCTATATGTAAAAATATTTGGGTTATCATAAATTGATACACAAAATAGTTAATGGTGAGTTTTAAATCAGCATGGTATATAGCTGAACACTTGGGCAATTTATGCAAATCGATGCATTTAAGGAGACCCTTCACATGCTTTAAAGTATATTTGGAGTATTTTCACTGAAGTAATTCTTTTTTTTTTTTTCCCACTTTCAGCAAATTCAACACCCAACAGCCTCCCTAATAGCCAAAGTAGCAACAGCCCAGGATGACATAACTGGTGATGGTACCACATCCAATGTCCTAATCATTGGAGAGCTACTGAAACAGGCGGATCTCTACATTTCTGAAGTATACATGATTCTTGTGTTGCCGGAAATTTCTATAAATTGAGGTGTTAATAGTAGCTGAGGCCAGATAGTACAAGGTAAAGAGTAGGGGGCTTAAATCTAGGAACCAGAGCCTATATCCTGGTCTTAATACAAGTTTATTGTGATCCTGGACAGATTAAGGAAACTTCCTTGGCCTGCAGAGGTTTTTTTGGTCAAGTTGTATTACATATTATTTACATATGTCTGTAACAGCTTATTAGTTGAGATCTAGAAACAGGATGTTCAGGAGTAGGCATATTTATAAGGAAAAAGCCAACTAAAACAAGTTTAAGAATTACAGAATATTTTTAGCCTTGAGTAGTTTGAAGATTAAAGCAAACCTCAGTAGTGATCCAATTCTAAGAAAATCTTGGGCAGAGAGAAAAGGCAGACCCTTTGCCTCTGTTTTGTTAGTAATTGATGTAAATTGAAAAGATAAATGGTCCTATTGAGTACAGTTTTGAGTTTTAGACATTCCCTGTGGTCTGCACAGTGAACACCCAAGTGTACTTTATAGTTCCCTTGGCTTTGATTCTGTGCTAGAGCAATGTCTGTTCTTTTCCTCTGCATTGAAAGGACTATTTATCCTTTTAAATGTATTCAAAAAGTCAGCACATTATATTCAAGCATGTGAATAATCTAGAATATTCCTTTAAAACTTACTTTAACATCTGATTGAAGAATTCCAGTGTTAGTGGTGATTATGTGATTGTATGTTTATAGGGTCTTCATCCCAGAATAATAACAGAAGGATTTGAAGCTGCAAAGGAAAAGGCACTTCAGTTTTTGGAACAAGTCAAAGTAAGCAAAGAAATGGACAGGGAAACACTTATAGATGTGGCCAGAACATCTCTACGTACAAAAGTGCATGCTGAACTTGCTGATGTCTTAACAGAGGTATGTTAAGTGTGGTATGTGTCTGGTAGTGTACACCTATACTGAAAACCCCTGGTGTATTTTCTAGTTGGAATTGCAAGGTGCTATCTAAAACCTTCACAGTATCATGCCATGTGAAATAGTTTTTTTTTTTTTTGTGGTAAAGAGCAGCTGATTTGTGTTCCCAAAATAATAGTATACCTGACCATGTTATGAAGATACAATTGGAGCTTTCATTAAAGATTAATAAAATTGAGATTTCATTATAAAAAGGTTCATTGATATTTTTAATAGAATAGTAGGGATGTCCGTGATTCTTTATACATAATTATATTATAAGTTGAGATGTCAGAAATGTAAATGATTTCAATCCTTTACAAATAATATATTTTGTTACCTCAAAGAAAAAGGCTTAGGTCAATTCAGAGATTTTTAAAGAAAAGTGAACTTCTCTGAAGAAAAGCAATGTAAGCATGTGGACTTCTGCAAATCAAGATCATTTAATGGTTATGCTCTCATTGTAGGCTGTAGTGGACTCGATTTTGGCCATTAAAAAACCAGATGAACCTATTGATCTCTTCATGGTTGAGATCATGGAGATGAAACATAAATCTGAAACTGATACAAGGTAGGTGATAGGATGCTATGAAATATTTACTCAATGTGTTTACAAATTTATAGGCACTTTATACAGTACATGTTTTTTGGCTGATTTCGTTGAATTTGTGTGTATAGCCTAAATGAATATTTAGTTTGCCCAATTGTGTTTCATCTTGAAGTTACTAATGATATGTTTATAGTCAGTATGACTGTAAAAAATGAGCTATGTCAGTGATTTATTGAACTGTGGGTTACAAAGCATAAAAGACTATTGGGGAATTTCTTAAATATACATTACACTTTAAAAACATAGTTCAAAAGTCATTTTAAAAAAAAATTTTTTTTTTAATTTTTATTTATTTATGATAGTCACAGAGAGAGAAAGAGGGAGAGGCAGAGACATAGGCAGAGGGAGAAGCAGGCTCCATGCACCAGGAGCCCGATGTGGGATTCGATCCCGGGTCTCCAGGATCGCGCCCTGGGCCAAAGGCAGGCGCCAAACCGCTGCGCCACCCAGGAATCCCTCAAAAGTCATTTTTAAAGGAGGTGATCACAATTTGAGAGGCTACCAGTTGCAGCTGCCTCTCTGCAGAATTTTCTGTACAAGATAAGAGTTACTACTTTTATTTTGAATGGCTTGTTTTTGTACTGTGTTCTGGATATTGCTTTTTCATAATCGAACCTGCCTAGGTTTCATCCAAAAAGTCTTTTTCAAAGACTCAAGTAATAAAGTCATGTGAAAATTATTAATGCAGCTTCAATTTAGTTATGTGAATTTTGTTAGTATATATTATGTATCATTTGGAAATCAATAACAAAACAATTTGTTGTGTGTTTCAACAGCTTAATCCGAGGTCTTGTTTTGGACCATGGGGCACGGCATCCTGATATGAAAAAAAGAGTAGAAGATGCATACATCCTCACATGCAATGTGTCGTTAGAGTATGAAAAAACGTGAGTTTACAGGCCATACAAATGGAATAGAGAGGTGGAGGAGCTTGGTACTTTGGGCAAGTCACTTTGAGATTTAAGTTTCACCACTGCAAGGACACTAATGCCTCAGTTGGGTTCGGGTGAGTTAAAGGAAGTAACCTTTGAAAACATACCGGGGGCAGGATTGGAACTCAGTGGCTGTCTGTTAAGTCTCAAGACTAACCCAGTTTCTGAGGCTGCTGGTTTATCTTCTCAAAAAATAAACATTGTCCTTCCTCCCCCATAACTTTTTTTTTTAATAGAGAAGTGAATTCTGGGTTTTTTTACAAGAGTGCAGAAGAGAGAGAGAAACTCGTAAAAGCTGAAAGAAAATTCATTGAAGATAGAGTTAAAAAAATAATAGAACTGAAAAAGAAAGTCTGTGGTGATTCAGATAAAGGATTTGTTGTTATTAATCAAAAGGTGAGAATGAAATTTTGCTTCATAAACGAGTCTGTATTGTCCATTGCTATTTTTAAGATGACTACCGTTTACTGTTCGTTAACAGTAACGAACTGTTTTTGTTGTAGGGAATTGACCCCTTTTCCTTAGATGCTCTTGCGAAAGAAGGCATAGTAGCTCTGCGTAGAGCTAAAAGGAGAAATATGGAAAGGTATGGATAACATATTACCTTAGTGATGTAAAATTTTACTTAGTTTGTAAGTTACGTGGAATTACTACTTTTTCTTGTTCCTGCTAAGTTTTTCCTTTTTTATTGTGAATAAAAAATATATATAATTTATTATTTGGCTTATCTTTTCAGATGTACAACCCAGTGGCATTAGGTTTCATTCACGTTGTTGTGCAACAACCATCATCATTCATCTCCAGAATTTTTTCTTTTTTTTTTTTTTCATCTTCCCAAACTGAAATTCTCTCATGAATGAAACAATAACTTTCTCTTTCTTTTCCCTCCCCCTAGTAAATACTTTTCTACTTTGCCTTTATGATTTTGGTACCTTATATAAGGGAATCATGCAGTATTTGTCCTGTTGTGTGGCTTATTTTATTTAGCATGTTTTCAGAGTTCATCCATGTTGTAACATGTATTAGAATGTTGTTCTTGTTAAGGATGAATAATATTCCATTATATGGATATATCACTTTTTCATTTATCAGTGGACATTTAGGTTTCTCCCTTTTGGCTGTTGTGGATAATGCTGTGAACATTGGTGTATGCTTTAGTTTTAAACCATGACATGTATGTGTACATTTACTATGTCAAGAGACAGCATTAAGGGGTTTCAAAGAACTGCTTTTTCTCCCAGAGCTCACCACGATAAAGAACTCTTGTTTTATTTATAGATTTCTTATCAGAAGAGTATTTGTGGACTTTGAAAGAGTGGGTTAAATGTCAAGTTAGGATAAAAGATGGTTTTTAACGGTGGTGGTGAATTTGAAGGTTTGAGTTAAAATAACATTTTGACATTTAATTTTAGTGTGTAATTCTGAAAGATAGCTTCTTAAAAATTATTAATCTCTTTAAACATAACAAAGCTACTTATATGTCTCCTTTAATATTTAATATTTCAGGCTGACTCTTGCTTGTGGTGGAGTAGCTCTAAATTCTTTCGATGACCTAAATCCTGATTGTTTGGGACATGCAGGACTTGTCTATGAGTATACATTGGTAAGTGTATTTCTTTTCTGAAGATAATATGATAACGTTCTTTGGTTCTTGAATTCTTCGGTAGTAAAAAAAATTCATTCAAACCTAGGGTCATATTCTTGCTTTGTTTACATACATTTTGAAGGTTATGTGTAGTAATGATAAGGCATTGATGGGGAAAATCACATTGCTTTTATATGTGACCTTTTTTTATGAAGTAATTTGCTTTAATGTGATGAGTATGTTCCCTTTTTAATATGCTACTTACTCTTTTATAAGCTCCTCTAGTCTTTCCCAGTCTTGGTACAAACATACCCTATTTTGAAAATACCTCTTTTTCACATAGGGAGAAGAGAAATTCACTTTTATTGAGAAGTGTAACAATCCTCGCTCTGTCACATTATTGATCAAAGGACCAAATAAGCACACACTCACTCAAATCAAAGATGCAATAAGAGATGGCTTGAGGGCTGTTAAAAATGCTATTGATGATGGTAAGATGCTTACTGTGTTTATATTCTTTTACAAGTATAAAAAAAGCATGGCTGAATACTGTGTTCTTTTTATCAGTAGTTTACACAGCCAGACACCATGCAAAAGTAAAGCGTTCCCTTTAAAATGCCTCTAATGGTGTGCTAAGCTTCTTCATAGCATATCATTTTTAAAAGTGAATACAAGTAGGTAACCCGGGTGGCTCAGTGGTTAACTGTCTGCCTTTGGCTCAGGGCGCAATCCTGGAGTTCAGGGATCAAATCCCACATTGGGCTCCCTAAGGGGAACCTGCTTCTCCTTCTACCTATGTCTCTTGTCTCTCTCTCTCTGTCTCATAAATAAATAAAATATTTTTTAAAAAAGTGATAGAAGTAAATGAACTAATAGTAACCTTCCAAGTACTAGTTAAATTGAAGCATTTTGCTATTTAATGTTTTTCTTCCAGAGAAATCTATATTTCTAATATATAATATATTAGAAATATAATGTGTTGCTTATAGTGCTTTCAAATGCAATATTGTGGCTATTCCACATTCTCAAGAAATTAATGCTTTTTATGTTTGTGTTTTATGTATTTTCTTAATGATTCCGCAGTTTTATTTTCTTCGTAGTTGATCATTTCTCTCCTTCCTTCCCACCCCAACAGGCTGTGTAGTTCCGGGTGCGGGTGCAGTGGAAGTGGCAATGGCAGAAGCCTTGATTAAATATAAGCCCAGTGTAAAGGGGAGGGCCCAGCTGGGAGTTCAAGCATTTGCTGATGCATTGCTCATTATTCCCAAGGTATGACTACTTTAACAGTTTTCTTAACTACATCAAAATGAGTTAGCTGATGAAAGTTTTTTTATTAACATGGAGTCTTTCTCATAATGTAGAGTTGGAGTTAAACAAGTTTTATCAGCTTTCTCCCAAATATAGCTAAAGAAGCTATCTCTTGGGCAGCCCAGGGTGGCTCATTGGTTTAGCGCTGCCTTCAGCCGCGAGCATGATTCTGGAGACCTGGGATCGAGTCCCACATCAGGTTCCCTGCATGGAGCCTGCTTCTCCCTCTGCCTGTGTGTCTGCCTCTCTCT